GTGAATGGTGTTGCAATAAACATGGGAGTACAGATATCTCTTTGATATACTGACTTCATTCTCTTTGGATATATATCCAGTACTGGGATTGCCGGATCGTATGGTAGTTCTATATTCAGTTTTTTGAGGAACTTTTATATTGTTTGCTATAATTGTTGTACTAATTTACATTCTTGCCAACAGTCTGTAAGTGTTCTCTTTTCTCTGCATCATCACCAACACTTGTTATATTTTCTATTTTTCGTAATAGCCATTCTAACTGGAGTGAGGTGATATTGAGGTTTTGATTTGCGTATTGCTGATGATTAACGAGGCTGAACATTTTTTATATACTTGGTGGACATTTGCGTATCTTCTTTTGAAAATTGTCTGTTAAGGTCTTTGGCCCATTTTTAAATTGAATTGTTTGTTTGTTTGCTGTTGAGTCTTTTGAGTTCCTTATATATTCTGAATTCTTACCCTTTGTGAGATGTATAGTTTGCAAATATTTTATCTGATTCTCTAGGTTGTCCCTTCACTCTGTTGATGGTTTCCTTTACTGTGCAGAATCTTTTTAGTTTGTTGCAATTCCATTGGTCTATTTTTACTTTTGTTGCCTGTGTCTTTGAAGTCTTCTCCAAAAAATTCCTGTTTAGTCCAGTATCTTTAATTCTAGTAGTTTCATAGTTTGAGGTATTACATTTGAGCCTTTGGTTAATCTTGAGTTGATCTCTGCATATTAGGGAAAAGTAGGAGTCCAGTTTTATTCTTGTGCATGCAGATATCCAATTTTCCCAGTAACATTTATTGAAGAGACTGTTCTTTTCTTAATGTGTTTTTGAATCCTTTGTCAAAATTAGTGGGCTCTAAATATATGAACTTATGTCTGGGCTATCTATTCTTTTCCACTGATTGATATGTAAGTTTTTATGTCAATAGTATTATGTTTGGGTTATTATTTTTTTGTAGTATATTTTGAAGTCTGATTGTGTTATGCCTTTAGCATTGTGTTTTTTTTTTTTCCTTAAGAAAAATTCTTAAGATTATTTTTGCTATTCCTTGTCTCTTGTGGTTCCATATGAATATTATGATCATTTTTTCGATTTCTATGAAGAATGCCATTGGTATTTTGATAGGGAGTGTATTGCATCTGTATATCCCTTTGGTAGTGTGGGCATTTTAACAATATTAATCTTTCTAATTTGTGAAGATGAAATATCATTCAAATATAATTCAATTGCATTGTGTCTCTTCAATTTCTTTTCTCAAAGTTTTATAGTTTTCAGTATAAAGATATTTTAACTCCTTGGTTAAACTCACTTCAAGGTGTCTCTTTTTAAGTAGCTATTGTAAATTGGATTGTTTTCCATTTATGTCTTAATTTCTGAAAACTCCCAAGTCACATAAAACTTTGCTTGATTAAATAAGTTTGTTATGAGATTTTCTTATTAACTTGTCTCTGTAATAGAAGTGCTGGCCATTACCTTTATGATGGGTGAAAAAATGTGTCACAAATTTTCTGTTTCAATGCTCTCTCTTTCTCTATCCACCTATTAATCTAGTTGATTGTCAAATTTGTAGCCTTCGACAACTGTAAATTCCACTTAGATAGCAGAATTATGTAATTTACTTGAATACAATTATAAAGTATGTTTGTGCAACAACCAAGCCCAGGTTTATACAAGCTTATTAATTTAATACAAACAATGCCTAACTATAATGCTATACTTTACTCAAATTCTATTTGTATTATTAATATAAAAACAAATAAATACAACTTATGTGTTGGACTCTTTAGCCGGATTTAGAAGTAATGTTCATGTCAGATGTTTTACCTTCAACAGTAGAAACATTCAAAAGCTTTTCTTTGATTTAATAAATTGAATGAAAAAAATATGTCTGTTATTGGCACTAACATCACAGATTTTGTCTTTGATGCATCTAATGCTAATAATATTAAATTGACATAATTCACTTTCAGAGCAAAAACTGCTCTGAAATAAATTGCAAGTGTGAGGAATAAACTGAAAAGAGCAATCATTTAATCTAGATGAAAAATCAGGTTTATAGAACAATTTTAAATATACTTTTTGTAGTAATACAAGTTAAATCTGACCATATTTTAATGTAATTGCTGATGCTTCTCCAGCTGATTTGTGTCTTCTAGTTTTTATGTAATCTGTGATTTCACTACATCCTCCATGGTGGATAATAAATGTCAATAGACATTTCGTGCAGTTTACACATTCACATAAAATTTATTGAAAAATGAAATATAGTACATAGAATATTACCAAATGTGCATCTTGGAAAAGTCATTGCCATTAAAAGGACTTATGGAAAAATTTAAAAGTAAGTTAATGAACAATAATATAAATACAGTTTTGCATCTTAAAATCAATGACAAAACCAGTTATCAAGAACATTCTGACCATTCTCTTTACAAATTATGATACAACTGCTCAACCTATACTTTCCAAATGTATTTAATGTAAAGCTGATCTGTCATTTCTCAATACCCAAAAACACTGCTCATTGATAAACTGATGGCTGACCTGCTCGCAGCTCATGGTACACATAGTCTAAGGCAAATTTGGCTATTACACCAAATGTCAAGAAGGACAGGAGCATCAAATCCTTCTACAACCATCATCTCTGACTTGAAGGAGTCAGATGTCACTAGTTACTCATTCTAAGGGCATTTGGTTTCATAAACATGTGCCCTGAATATTGTCCCTGAAAGAGAGGTGAGTTTGTCTTATAGTATGCACGTATATGTGACTGGAAAGTGTTGAGAGAAAGAGATATAAGTTATCTCTGTTTATCTTTAATGTTTTGTCATGTGCTAAACTGGGAATTTTGTTTCCTGCACATACATTTCATATAGTACTAACTGAAAAATGCAAATAAGATCTACAGAACTCATTATGGCTTATTGAAGTACAATTACTACTACTACCAACTAACTTAAAAGTAAAAAAAAATAATAAATCAGGGGCAAATGCTAAACTGGACTAGAAGCTGAGACAATATACATGAGCAGGGACTGTCTCAGGCAAATACAGATGTATGTTGATTGTATTCATATGGAATCCTGACAATATAGAGTATGGCAGTCTGAGATTCACTCTTGGAAAGTATGTCCTCAATCATCAATAACTTATTTCCACTAGCAACTTAGATGGAGTATACAAACAGGTGTAATATTTTTATAGTGAACAAACAAGCAAAAATACTGAACAGATACATGTATATGGAGAAAGAAGAGATGCTAGGAAAACCAGTAATAGCTTAAGGAAGCTGTCCAAGCAGAAGAGAATTCACTTCCTTAAAGGCACTTGTTATTTACAATATATCCCTGAGCCTCTTAAATATTTTCAAACTACCTATAGTTATTAATTTTGCTAACATAAGTATGTGAGTTTTTGTTTAGATTAATCTGAATCCATCTCAAATTTTACTTGTATATTTTAATATTTGGAATATTCTTGCATAAGTAAATTACTACCGGCCATTCTTGTGAGTGTGTGTTAATTTGTGTTGCTCCTAAAGTCTACCTTATGTCATCTGCTGGATGAGGAACTTAAAAAAGATGTTTGAATCAGGTAAGAGGCAGTGCAAGAATATTACAAATTTGGTTTCAAATTCAAATACCCTGAATCGTTTCTACCATACCAGAAAAACATGCATTAAAGAAAAAAAAAAAAACTAGATATTTTGGCTTTGTTTCTAACTGGCAACAGAGCTGATACATGATTTGTATATTCACTAACAAATTTTGAACTTGTAAATCTGGTTAATTCATCATTAATTGTTACCTGAAGCTTTAATTTGCTTAGTGATTACTTTTAGAAATTATGGCATATAAATATTTCTGGTATACAACTAAACAAATGTTGTGTTTTCTATCCAGTAAGTCAATAGCTGGTTCTTCTGGCCTCTTCCCCTTGCTCATGGATTTATTTGACTATTAAACTACTATACATGTATCAACACACACACCCCTCACATGTGTACACAACGCATATAAATATTTGTTATAAGTCAACATTGCATAACATATTCTGAAGGCATTGTTCAAAAACAAACAAACAAAAAGATCTGCTCTAAGTAGCAATCTGAATATTTTAATTTATTGACTGGACAAATACCTAACTGAGATAGAATAGAAATTGTTTAAATGATACATCAGGGCTAAACTGAGAATATATTTGTAGTCATTTGAAAAGTGAGATTATATAGTCTTGCTGTAGTTTTAACTCCTGAAGCCAAAAAGCCCATCACTTCTTTGGGGAAAGGGCATGAGTCATTTTCCAAGGGACTTATTGTGTTTGTGTCTTTTCTAAAAACCTAGCCTCAGAGAACTGATTTCTCCCAAAGTGAGAAAAGCTCCTCTCGCCAGTCTGCTACCTATTTCCTGGGTGGTATCTTTCAGCCCATCAAAGTGCACATACGGAAATATACAATTAAGTGAACTCCTTCATCCTTAATAACTTATTTTCCTCTTTAATAGTCTTTCATCATCATATTCATCCCAAACACACATATCAATTTTTCTCTAAACAAGAGGGCTTTTCTCTTATGCTTTCCTCTCCGTGCTTTGCATAAATAGTCCTACAAAAAAAGTGACCTGCTAATTATGAGTGATTGCTTTTCCCATCCCAGGGTGGCTGAGGAATAATTTAAACTAGCTATTCATAGTCAGGGATCATCAAGTGATTGCACTCCAGATTAATCTTCCTGGGCCCAAGTACTGCCTGGCTTTAGCCTGAACATGGCGCTGCATTCTATCTGTCCTATTCAGCCCAAACAAGGAGACTTTATTTGCTAAACAATTTTAATTCATTCTGCACAATTTAATTAAGCTTCAGTGTGAAACCACCTGTGACCTTGGGTTTAGTAATGAAATCCACTCCCTAGTCACCAATGCCGAGCGTAATCTGTTTGGCAAAGACAGTAGAAAATAAGATTCTTAAATAGTGTTCGGAACTGGAAGAATCATGCTCTTTTTGATAGTTTGCTTGCAGGCCTTTGGCTGTTTTCTGGAGGAGATTTTATAGAAGAATTATCTTCACAGGAAGATTTGAATGGGATTTGAAATGACATGTAGCTGTCTCAGTGAGAAAACAGGTGAGAATGTCCACTGTTTTTCTGTACTGTGTGAACCAGAAGGTATTTTCAAGAATAAAGTCTTTTCTTTCTTTCCCTGGGAACTAAGATGAAAGCATATACATGTAATTAAATGCTTCTTTTGTGTAAGTATGGGCCATTTAATATTTAAGTATTAAGTGGAGGTGTACTTAGTTAGAATGAGGCTTTCAGAACCCAGTTTCTGTTTGGCAAGTTCTAGCTAATCAAGGAACAGGATACTGAGTAGAGAGAGTCATCTAGACATTTTGGATTTGGGGTCATATGCGTTTTAACAGAACTTATTTGGCTCTGCCATGGTTAAGTGTTAAGCCTTCTGTTATACATCCTGTGCCCAGCTTTTTCTGCTCTAGGCCTTGTGATTTTTTTTTCAGAGCACTGTTCGTGTATCCACCGAGACCCTGTGCTTCATCACCTCATGGTGTACACACACATTTACCATCCTGTCCACTCAACACGATGTGATTTTTACCTGTAAAATGCCTGCTAACCTGTCTTACTCATGTGAAGATATACATTTATACTGCTACATTTTAATAGTTCTGTAAATTGTCTGTCTTACAGTCCATCGTATTTACCCTTTTTGTTGACCGGGGAACATTTAGGGTGCAGTTTTCCTGAACTGTATTTGAATCAACTTGGTCACCGCTGTTCATGTCGTCCTTTCTTTTTACATTCAAATGAGTATAAAGGAGCTTTTTAAATAAATGTCTTAAAAAAATCAAGAGGTAACAAAGCACAGGATTCTAGTTTAATTGGTAGCATTTTCCCTTTTAGTAATGCATACAATTATAGTGTATCTTATAATTGAAGGCATCATACATTTGATGGAATATGCTAAATCCGTTCTTTTCTCTCTTCTAAGCCATCTGCTTCCTGCCTAACTTTTAGACTGTTAGTTTTTGGCTCTTCCATCAGGCCTTTCCAATTATTGCAATTGCATTTTTCTCCATTTCTTGATCACACATAGCGTTGGCTGTCACACCTGTGATGGTCTGTATTATATTTGATTTAGCACTCTGGGGCTTGCTGTCTGCTATGATTCTTATTTCAAGAATCATAGAATGTAAGGGAGGAAAAGATCATAGAGTGAATTTAGTGTCACTGTTTCATTTACAGACAATGAAACTGGGACTTTTGAGGTTTAAGTGTTAGTGGCAGGTCTGAGACTCTGCAACCAGTTGTTATTAGCCAGATGCTATCCCCAAATCAGGAAAGATCCTCCTTCAGCTTACAAGAGCTTACAGGCCAGCAATCTGATAGCATGTTCTCACTTTCTTGAAGAGTATCTTTTAAAAACATACCAAACTAAGCCTTCTTATGTTCTTCAAGGTAGCGGTAGTTTTATATTCCAGCTATTGTACTGAATACTTGTTTTGTTGAATTAAACTATCAAAAGAAGTTAAAATGTCATTGAAGTTACAGGCATGGGTGAAATTTTCAATGACTAAATCTGAGCAGCAGCCTTATTTCAGTTCTGTCATTGCCCCCAACCCCTGAGTTCCTTCCCCCACCACCACCCAAAATGAATGACAGAAAAATAAGAAGCACGGCAAATGAGCTCCCAGATCCATCTGAATGAAAATACCAAGACTCTGTGGATGTTCCTAGAGATCAGATTCTCTTGGTAAGAAAATTGCAACATTGAAACTTCTTTCAAGCATTAAAGCCCAATGTCTTCCTTGTTTTGGAAAAAAAAAAATAATAAAATTTTTGGAGGTACACACAGATGCATCAGAGAGGATTAACTACGGTAATTACAGTAGACTTAAGTGGCATGGCAAAAGACATTGATAATAATAATAAAACTAGAGGAAAACACAAAATATCACCTCTCAAGAAGGAAAAGAGCAACAGGTAGAGAGGCAAAGAGAAGAGACATGAATGGGGCAATGTGGTTTAAAGCATTAGGAGGATCTTGGGTTGGTCCAGTAGATAATAAAAGACAATGCTAACAGCAGTGCTGTTATTGTTGTTGTTGTTAGGTTTTTTACGTTTTATGTTCAGTTTTTTTTAAGTATGAAATCAACAAGAAAGATAGATTACATATGATATTGGTGGGTGGGGGCATGAAGTTTGAGGAAGCTGTGAACTGCGATGAAACAGGGAAAGGGTCAACAAGTGGGATAGGAGGCAGGCAGCTGGAGAGACTTGGATTCTATCTTGATGATCCTATGAGTACATGGCCTTGCCTGGTGGCTTTATTGAACTGATCCTGTTAAATGGAGAGTCATTTTACTCTTTCTTGAATAATACTTTTGAATATATAAATAAATAAAAATTTGGTCCTTAAAAATTTTCAAAATGTATGTAGTTTAGCTGTTTCAAATCCATAAACTAAAAAGAAGTTTTGTTGGTCTAACAAATTAAACTGGTTGTCTCTTCTCTCTTTTGCTCTCTTTCATTCTACATACACACACACACACACACACACACACACACACAAGCATATATGTCTTAGTCTGTTTGCTGTTGCTTATTACAGAATGCTTGAGACTGGGTAATTTATTTTAAAAAACAAATTAATTCTTACAATTCTGGAGGCTGAGAAGTTTGAGAGTTTGAGAAGTTTTAGAAGTTTGAGAGTTTGAGGGGCTGAATCTGGTGAGGGCCTTCTTGCTGAGGGCAGGATTCTCTACAGAGTCTCAAGATGACACAGGACATCACGTGATGAGGAGATTGAGCACACTAGCTCAGGTCCCTCTTTCTCTTCTTAAAAAGCCACCAGTTTCGTCCCTGTGATAACTCATTAACTTATTAACCCATTAATCCATTAACGAATTAATCCATTCATGATGGCAGAGCCCTCATGACACAAATCACCTCTTGAAGGCCCCACCTCTCAATACCGCCATACTGGAGATTTTCAACATGAATTTTGGAGGGTACAGACATTCAAACTGTCACAATATATGCATACAGAAATAACTATTTGATTCAATAGGTACGAAGTTTTAGATATTTTTTCTTTATATACGAAAAGTGAGGAGAAACAAGCCATTTCCATTTCTGAAATATTTGTGCCTAGCTACTGGTACCTGCTAGAGTTTCAGGAAAGGCCTCTAAGGTTTATTTATCAAATACATAACACAATTGGCAACTAGGTGTTTCCACTGAATTATTCCCAGAGGTGCAGAACCAAAAGCAGTATTTGAATGTAAGCAAGACAATCTACTCAATTCTAAATTGGACTTGTTCTCATTACCAAGGACATCCTTGGGATAAAGGTGGGGGGCTACTCAACATTTATTGAGCACCTACTATGTTTCAGGTATTATATTATGTAATCTACTTTATTTCATACTTCAACAACACAAATAGTATTATTAATATTACTTTGTAATTTAAATACTAAGTAAGCATCCCAGTTGATATCTGAATCTTTATTAGTCAGAACTCCCCATTCTTTCTGTGATACCACAGTACCTTGAAAGTTGCCTACAATTACAGGGGCTTCGTGCTTGTGGGATACCTGTGTTTTGGTTTCCTGAGTGCACAAAGAGATTCTCTCTTTTTGTTAACAGCTTTAATGTAAATGTCATGAGCTACCAGAGCAATTCTCAAAACAAAAACTTGATTTAATTCAACAATACTGTTAAAGTGCTACCATATGCCTGTACCTTACTATGATACAAGCATAATAACGAAATAGCATCCCTATCTGAGCAAAGCTACAGAACTAATGTAAACAGTGTAATGTGGCTAAATGCATAAATAGCTATGTGAAGTCAAATCTAATAAAGAGAAGAAGAATGGCATACATCAGTGAGGGGGAAACTATATTTGATTCTCCAACATCATTTCTGTCTTTGTCTATTGCGGAGATGAGTCTTTTAGAAACCATTCTTCAATCTACTCAGAAGAAGAATGCAGAAAAAAATTGCATGGTCTCCCTGTCTATCTTGTTTTAGCTGCATTTCATGGAAAAAATAATTGCTTCACCTAATTGGTCATATTTAGACATTCATAGTAGACAACACTACTGTGCAAATAAGCAACATGACTGCTCTTGCTTTCTCATTGACTCCCCAATTTCCAGAGAGCAACCTCATTTTAAATGTCTATCTTTATTAAGTTGAAATGCCACTCACAGAATGGTCCAAAGACAAGCAACATTTTCATACCTGGGAAATTACTAGAAATGAAAAATTTGGGGACTACTCCCAGATTTGCTGATTGAAATTTGTGATTTCTCAAGATCCCTAAGTGATGAATATGTACATTCAACTTTGAGAAAAGCTGTCAGGTCTTATCATTTTTATTCCTCAGTCTTTCTATATTTATTTGTCTGAAACTAGATGGAAGTCAGTTTGGTACATCTTTTTCACAAAGTTGTCTGAGTAAATAGATTCAAAGAGGTCACTGCAGATCTAGGAACTGGGGGCTAAGTTTAAAGGAAGAAGAATGACTCGGCTTTCTTATTTGTTATATTAATCACACAGCAGGGAGATGGTGGGGGAGGTACTTTATTTCCCATTTAGTTATTGTCTTCTGCGTGTATATAGCTAATTTTTCATGGTGCCCAAGGGGAGGAAAGTGAGCAGGCAGATTTGGGTAACAATCCCTATCACATGCATCATCGTTAGCGTTATTATTATAAAAGGCTTCAAAACCAAAACTACATTCCATCAAAAATGCCCAGAGAGATTGGTAAAGGAATGAACACTTAGAAAAACCTTAAGTATTTATAGATGTAGAAACAACAAAAAAGAAGACCCTCCCCCAAGTAATGGGAGCAGCAGCATAAGCCAAGATGAGATAAAAATTTGTGAGAAATATTTAGGTAAACATGACTCGACCATTTCACTTGAGTGTAGAGCACAATGTATAATAACAGTCAAAGGGGTGAAACTGGAAGGAACATTTGAATTATATTATAAAATTATTTGTAAGACAAAATGAGGAATTTTATTTTAGTTCTTTAAACCATGATGAGTAGGACGGTGATTTTACCAAACCATGCTTTAAAAGAATTAATTTGG